GGGTAAAGGGAAGGCAGCTAGTGAAAAACACCCACCACATGGGATAAAGGGAAGGCAGCTAGTGAAAAACACCCACCACCAATTCTTAGAATACTCTAATCGAATAGAGAGATTTGAGAGAGAGAAGAAGTTTGAATTTCGCGCAGAGCAACACGAGGACTATCTGCTCTAGCCGTCCCTAATTTAGCAGTGAAAGACTAGAGGGAAGGCAGCTAGTCATCACCACCCACCGCCGACTCTTGGGCTACTCTTTTACCAACGAATAGTGCGATGGACCGCCCCATTATAACGCCCCCACGGCTGAAATGGGCAAGCACGTTTGGTGGGACGGAGATTCGAATTCTTGACCCTCAGATTGCGAGTCAAGCGCCTTAACCACCTGGCCATGAGAGGGATTTGACCTCCCACTCTGATGTATCCACGGCTTGAAAATGTGTAGCATGATTTGTTTTTTTGTTTTCCTTACAGCAAGGGGATGCGAACCAAAGACACACCAGGCCCTATTAACTGTAAAAAAGAAGACAATAATATGATGTTATGTAATATTTTAACCTCTGTGTTGGTATGAGGAAGTAAAAGACACACTCAACTCTTCAAATAAAAAGGAATATTTTAAGTTTGAATTATCAAAATCTAATTACAGTTTCTACCGTACAAAATGTAGTAGTCCCAGTGTAACATTTATCGATTTTATTACAAATATTATTAGTTGGCCACAGGAAAATGAATAAATGGTATTTTTTTTAATTTAATAAGAATTTTAATGCGTTTTGTCTTGTCTTGTGTTACTCTAAAAACATTCTACATTCGTTTTTATAAAAATGTTTTAAAACTAAATAAAACATTTGGTGTAAATTACAAAATAATTCACAAAGATAGCACATAATGTAAAAATTACAAACCCATAACTCTTTTTTTTTAATCATAATTTTTGTATATGATTTTATTAACTTTACAGTAGCTTATCGAAAGGTAATTCAGTTGTTCTTGAAATTCTAAATTCTAACCAGGACACGAACCATTTTTGACAGGACAACGATGAATACTATTTTAGACATGTCCTCCCAAAGTTTCATCAAAATCTGATCATTCTGACTGAGTTATATAGCAAAAATAGTGTGAAAAATAGATCCCCATGTTGATAGATAAAGATGTTTTAGATTTTGGTAACCCTGCTGTGACTTTGACCACCTTGACCCTCCAAAAATTAATAACTTCTAAGTTGGATCATAGTCCAAATGTATACCAATTTTCGTCCAAATCCATTCAGCTGTTTTCGAGAAATCTTGCTGACAAACACAGAGTGATGAAACATAATCTCCGTCACCGAGCATATTAGCATAGTCTGTGAATCAACTCCCACTGAAAGTACATCATCATGTAAACTAGAAACATTAACTTAAGTTTCCTTAAGATGTAGGTTTTTCGTTGAATTTGATTTATAATATCAGATACATTGATTGGTAATACTTAGTTTTCTAATTAGTGACTATAAAAATTCGTTGTTTTTAAACGGATTGTTTTGTTTTGTTTGTAATTATGCACAAAGCTACACAAGGGCTATCTGTGCTCTGCCCACCACGGGTATCGAAACCCGGATTCTAGCGTTGTAAGTCCGCAGACATACCGCTGTGCCACTGGGGGGGGGCGTTTTTAAACGGAAACTTATAAAATTAATTGCGATTCAGAAGTATTTAAAACTTTATATATATATATACAGTTTAATTGGGAGTTTTGCAATAAAATGAATGCGAATTTTTAGCACTGTTTAGTTAACACGTAAAGTAAAATTCTATTATTCTCAGTATTTTCTAGATTCATTGCACCTAGTTACACCTTATTGAGGTCAATTATAGGTGCTGTAAAATTCACTGCAACTTGTGTTGCTCATAAACTGGAACGGTATATTCTAAAAAATATCATACTCATTGATTCCTCTGTTTATATATCCTAGTAGGTGGTATCAAACCTTCTACTGCCTCAGTGTCTTATATCCTAATATAAACAGTCATATCTTTACAATATTTGATGCGTGTATCTCAGTTATTCCAATAACAGTTTTAACCTAGATATTTTTAGCCGCGGCATAGCGGCTCATTGAACGGCTCTGAGTTTTTCAAATACAAACTTTTTAGCTCAGAGCTCGATCCGTCATCTCTTGACCGATTTGAGATCTAATTACAGTTTTGAACTCAGGAGGTCAAACCCTTTCGA